GGGACTCTCTACTCCTGCAAAGAGTTACAACCTCGGAAATTCCCAGAGGCAGTTCCACCCTGTCCTACAGGGTCACTGTAAGGAAGAACTGACCTAGCGGCAATTCATTTGGTTTGATTTAGATCTAAGCAGAAAATGCACACACAGACACAGCGCTATAATCAGATATTCTCAGGACCATTTGGAGCTCAAAAACCAAACCAAACAAAAAAAACCAAGCCCGTTGCCATTAAATCTGCTGACCCCTGGTGAGTCCTGCCTTACCGGGCAGAACTGCCCCTTAGAGTTCTCTTGGCTGAGATCTTTATGGACACAAGTGGCTAAGCTTTTCTTCCATGGCAGTAATAGGTACACTCAGAGGGTGTTTAAATAACTCTCAAGGAAATAAAGCAGGCGAAGGCATCCATCTCCTTGGAGCCACGGAAGTCCCTGCAGTGTGAGCACGGGGCCTGGAAGACTTCGCCGGGAAGGGTTTTCACAGGTCAAGGGGCCAGAAGGAGCACACCTTTGAAATGTTTATGGAGCTTGGACGCGCACCCGGAGCAGAGTCCGCCTCTGTGCTTGGAATTAGCAAAGCGAACGTGCAGTGTGCTAACCTCCGTTCTGCTCTCTTCCAGATTGTGCGGGCTGCGGCCGGGACATCAAGAACGGGCAGGCGCTGCTGGCGCTGGACAAGCAGTGGCACCTGGGCTGCTTTAAGTGCAAGTCCTGCGGGAAGGTCCTCACGGGGGAATACATCAGCAAGTAAGGCCCAGGGCTCAGGGCACAGGTCCTGCAAGCTCCTAATATCGGGGTCCCCACCTCCACACGCACCCAGGTTCCCTCACGTCCCACAGTACTGGGAGTTTGGGGCTCTAAAGCTTTTCCCCTGCTTCTGAAACAACGAGGCGACTGTCAGTCTAACGAAATGCTCACAGCTGCCTAATGTAACCATCAAAGCCCCTGGGTGCTGCTGCACTAGGGTCGTGGCTCCAGCTCCACCGGCCACCCAGAGATTGGCAGTTGGTTCTGGTCACCCAGAGCCACCTCGGAAGAACACCTAGCCATCTTATTCCAAAACACCAGCCATGGCAAACCCACTGGAGCGGAGTCCTGTCCTGACACACCTGGGGGGCCAGTCTCGATGCGTCAGAATGACTCCATGGAAATGGTACTGGAATGGAAGAATTAGACATTATCGCAATAAGTTAACAGTTTCCATGGTGATACATTCTTTCTCCTGTTCTGGTGCTGAAAACCCTCCACCCAGGTCTTAGCCCTCTTTACAGACCCTCCAAATCCTACGGGGCTGGCTGGCCATTGGGCAAAACAGCCCAGCCGGAAAGATGTTCAAGTTCACAGCAGGCTCCCCTTGTGGACAACGGCTGGGGTGGCAATGGATTAAGTCTTCGTGTAGAAGCTGGTTTACAGGGGTTGCGTTTGGGGCTGGGGAGGAGGAGAATGAGCCTGGGGGTGAGGCGGGAAAAATGAGGGAGATGTTGCCACCTTCTACCTTTTCAGGGAACCAGGTGACTGTATCACCCATTCCTTAAAACATTAAATGAATTGTGTTTTACAATATGGTGAAGCAAACAGAAAAGTAGGCAGTGTGATTGCCCAGGTCCCGGGCAATGCCCACAAACCTGTTTTAGGAAGGAGAGGAAGCTTCACCCCGCAGGTGATTCCGAGGCAAAACAAGAGCCAAGAAATGCCCATCCTGGAACCCCGCACGGAAGGAAACTTGGTGCTCCAAAGCGGTGCTTCGCAATTTTTCTGTAAAGTGGGCAGGCCGAAAATAATAATATTGTTGCT